TGTAGTCAGTGAAAGTACTGGACTTGGAATCGAGAAGAACTGGGTTCAAATCCTACTTCACTTAATAGCTTTGTGATTTTGAGGAAGTCACTTAATTCCTCAGGTGTTCATCTTCTTTAAAAGGCATAATAGCACCTCTCTTGCCGAGTTGTTTAAATGAAACAATGAATGGAGAAAACACTCTGCAAATCGTAAAATCTACACTATTATTCATAAAGCTGAGTAGTAACCAGAACAAAGAAGGGCAATACGGGTGATTAGGTAAAACCTATGACTCTTCTGCAGCGAGGTGGTGCAGTAGAGAGAGCCCTGGGCCTGGGATCAAGAAGATCTGAGTTTAAACCCGGCAGCTGTGTTACATTGGGCAAGTCACTTAACTTCTGTTCACCTCAGTTTCCTCATCTGTAAAATGGAGATACTATCTATCTCCCAACGTTGTTGTGAAGATCAACTGAAAATATTTGTAAAGTTCTTTGCACGGTGCCTGGCACAGAGTAGGTATTTAATAAATGGTTATTTCCTTCTTTATGCATGCTGAGGAACATTTTGGTGGTCCAGAGGAAAACCAGGATGGTAAAGAACTGGAGACCATACCATGGTTAAGGAATGGTTGAAGGAACCGGAATATTTAGAGGAGATTTAGGAACAGCATAATAAGGACCTTCAAATATTTGAAGGGCTGCTACATAGAAGAGGGATTGTACTTTCTTCTGCGCTGTTAACAAAAAACAAAAAAACAATTGATGGAAGGTGTAGAGAGGCAGATTTAAGCTTGAGGTAAGGAAAAACTTCCTAACACTTAGAGCTGCCCCAAAATGGAAAGGAAGCCTCAGGAAAGAGTGGGTTACCTCTCACTGGTGATCTTCAGGGTAATGGCTGAGTGACCCCTTGTCAAAGATCATGTAGAAAGGATTTCTGCTTAGACACTGAATGATATCTGAGGTCCTTTCCTGCCCCTGAAGTTTGTGCTTGAAACTGATTTTTTTAACCTAAGGGATAATCATCACAGGTTTTGGAATGGAAAGAAAACTTAGTTCATTTACATCAACCCCCTCCTTTTATAAATGGAGGAACTGAAGACCAAAATAGGTGAAGTAATTTGTTCAGGGTCATGCAAGTGGAGCTGAGTTTTGAACCTAAATCTCCTGCCTGCAAATCCAGTGTCCTTTCCACTGAACCACATTGCCTCCCTGCACTTTGGCTTGGGGAGGTGTCTATCTCTTTAAACAGTGCTTCGGTACAATTACATGTGTCAGCAGCTGGTGATGCAGCAGATAGAGTAGCAGGCTTGGAGTGATGGAAAACTCATCTTTGTGAGTTCAAATCCAGCCTCAGACACTTCCTAGCTCTGTGACTCCGGGCAAGTCACTTAACCCTGTTTGTCTCACTTTCCTCATCTGTAAAATAAGCTGGAGAAGAAAATGGCAAACCACTCTAGTATCTTAGCCAAGAAAACACCCAATGGGGTCACAAAGAGTCAGACACAACTGAATGACTACAACTTCTGATACAAAAAGCCATAAACTTTACGGCAGAGGTGCCAAACATGTGGCCCAGCACACCCTGAACCAAATTAAAATGTAATTGGGAAATATTTGACAAAAATACAATAAAACATAGATGACATGGTTTTCTAAGTTAATACATGATCCACAAGGATCCTGATGTATAGTTTCATGGCTCAAATTTCTGTTTGATCCTGACCTTACTGCTTTAGGGAACCCTTACTTCCCTAGCTCATTTCTCTACCCTTATTCTTTCTTCCATTGTCTCTCCATCTTCTCTCAGAGCATCTGGGCTGATGCTCTGAGTCACTCAGTCACCCAGGCTTGTCTCCTATAACGTCTAAAAGAGGCAGGGGAGAGGATGGAGGGCAGCACCTATTTGGATATTGGGAAGAGGAAGCTGTTCATAGTCCTTGCAGTAATCATATTTTGCTGAATACCAGTTACCTCACATCACATAAAAATGCAGGCTATTTAGTTACTTGTCATAAAAGTTAATATTTAGCTAAAGCTTTTAGTACCAACCTAACTGCTGCTTCCTAGGTTAAGAATGGGGCTGTTAACAATAAAGAATGGCATCAGGTGTGAATTTACAGTCTTTTTCCACAGTAAGATTCATTAGTAACAAATTCATTGCTTTGCTTCCGTGAACAAGGACAGAAATACAACAAAGCATCATGTGCTGTGAGATAAAGCAACATATATACATATATGTGTGTATACATACATATATGTATATATGCATATACAAATGTACATTTTCAGTACAAAGTACATTTGTTGAGTACCTATTATGTACAAGTATGACCTCTCAGGGTCCAATCTCCTTTCTTAAGATCATAAGATCTAAAACTGAAAATTCCCTTAAAGGTAGTAAGAAATGATGAGCTCAATGATTTTAGAAAAACATGGAAAGACTTGCATGACATAATGAAGAGTGAAATGAGCAGAACCAAGAGAACATTGTATACAGTAATAGCAATATTGTTTAAGGACAACTTTGAGCAAATAAGTTTTTTTGACTATTATAAATACCCAAACTAACTATAAGGAACATATGAAGATACTATCTGTATCCCGAGGAAGAACTGATAAATAGAAGTATTCTATACTATAAATAGAATAATTATATATATATATGTGTGTGTGTGTGTGTGTGTGTGTATATACACATACATACATACACCTATTTGTGCCTAATGGTAGCCATCTCTAGGGCAGGGCAGGAGGGAGGGAAGAAAAGACAGGAAAAAAAAGAAATTTACATGATAATTTTGTTATATATTTGGAAGGAATAGCAGGTTGTGCATAGTAGATTTGCAGATTCATGTGCAATTATCTTTTTTTATTGTACTATGTTATGGAAATGCTTGTTTTATTCCATAAATTAAAAATTAAAACTGGGATCTAGAGGATTTGCTGAAGATCAAGTCCAATAGATAACTGTCAATCTGCCAGAGCTGAGTAAGAAATTGAAAATAATGGTTCAAATGAAGAGGGTGAACATTTCCAAAAACCAGCTCCTTGGATCAATAATCACTTCTTTGTGCCCCCCCCATATCCTCTATGGAGACAATCTCTTCATGACCACAGAATACCCTTCTACATTGTCTCTGCTATTGGAAAAGAGTTCTTCAACAGTAACACAGTGGCTAATTAGGCGTCACTCAGCGGAGCCCACAGTGGCTGATGAGCTGAACCAATCTCTCTCCTTTCCTTGTCATCACAATTTGCCTGACTTTTTAGAAGAAGCCTGACTTCTCAGTACAGGAAGTAGGCTCCCTAATTCTCATTTCATTGGCTATTCACTTCCACCCTAACTTGCTATTTACAGAGCTACTAATCATAGAAATGGGCTTAAAGTCTAAATGTTATCTCCAGCAAGAGGTGAAATTACCAAAAGATACCCACTGTACAAATATGGCTCAGGTCTGGGACAAGTGGTTTATTCCCACACAGAAAAGGGAAACTAAGCAATTAAAGGTTGATAAAAACTATTAGAATAGAATCCAGTAGCTTATCACTAGTAGTACAGTCCGTTGAGAGGCTAATACTTAAGTCTTAATGGAATACAGTTTTTGCAAAGCTGTTAATTAGTTCATATTTCATAGCTCAGGCCAATCAAAAAACATGCAGGAACTTCTTTCTCAGGACACCCTCTACTGGCAACTCTTTTGATGACAGTCTGCCTGCTTCTGCGGATGTTGCCACCTCAATCACTTGGGTAGTCACTACTCTGTCATTAGCCCACTCTAGCTAATGATTGCTGCTTGGGTGCCAGGGAAGGGGAAAGACCAGCTGCCTTTCAAGATTTCACAGCCAGTGCTGCCTGGGAACTGTGCTTCTTCTCATTGTCCACTGAAGGAATTGATTCAAAGGCCCACCTAACTCCCAGCTGAATCATGAGATGGTTGTTATTAGCTTTACCCTCCTTCTTGCTTAATTATAAGGAGCAGAAACCAAGGAAGTGATAGGACTCTATTCTTCCTGGATATTATACAAAATCACCCAATACATGCATACATATTTAATTTTCTGACCAGACTCCCTTTGAATTCCTATATCTATCCATACGTTGATAAATAAAAAATTTAGTGAGCACCTAAATCTTTCTGTGATTACTGCCCTCAGCAGATAGAGTTGTGGGAACATGCCTTTGATCACCTTAGAGAGAGAGAGTGAGAGTCTTCCCTTTGCAGCACTAGCTGAAGGCTAGCAGGGAAGGGATCAATAAGAAGACTATTTGGATTCTTATCAGCAGAAAAGAGTTTTAACCTAAACCATAAATATCAATGTAGCACTCGCTCTGAGTTCTCTTTCCCAACTTTCTATTTGTATTGGCAGGTTGAATTCCCTAAAGAGCAAATGATTACTTCTCCCTTCAGAGTTCTAGGGGTGATCCTGAGACATTTCAAGTATCATCATTCATGAGTACTAATCTAGTGTGCTCTTCTAATATCAACTAACTTATTAATATCAATTAGCTTTTACAATTTACAGGATAGTTGCTGAAAATTTATAGCAAAGGTAGAAATTACAAAAAACGCTCCCCACCCACCCACCCAAATCTAGGACATATTCTCCCCTCTGTACACATTCAGTCTCTGGAGTGAGTGGGCTCAAATTTACATCTAGGGAAGACGTGTGGCCAAGAGCTACCTTCTGGTTCTAGGAGTCCTTTTCTCTCTTCTCAGACCTCACCAAGTTCATGTGTGGTGTAACCAGTGAACAAGTCACTCCTTTCCCCAGCTTCTAACTCGTTTCTGGTTGTGGTGTCTTAGTCTCGAGTAAAGCTGCTACTCTGCTGGGTCAGGTAGGTCACTGAGTGGGGTTGATAGCTATCACTCCAGACTCAGCTACTGCTGTTTCTGATACTTATTGCTAAGCGAACTTCTCAAGGTTCTTCTCACTTTTGAAGACCACAAGGCAAGTAACCTGGTCATTCTATCTTTATAGGCTCATTCAACTAAGTTCAGGAAAAAAAAAATTACTCACCACAGAAATAGAGTCCATGTGCTCAGGAACACTTGGCAGAAGGGTAGGAAGATTAGCTAGCCAAGGTTAGATCTCCACTGCCCCTTCCTCTAGCCAGGGCTTCACAGCTGTTCCTCCTTTAAAAATCACCAGAGAAGAGGGAAGTGCCTGAGAGTAATTTTCAACATACCAGATAAACTCAGCAGACTATATGGCCTTTTTGAGCATGAGTCATCTATCCTCTCCCTGATATATGGAGTTAATCATGTGTCCCAGACTAAAGTACTCAGACAACCCTGTCCTTTACTGAGGCCCAAAGAGGGTGAGTAATTTGCCCAAAGTGAAACAAATAAAAAGCAGAGCCAAGATTCTAATTCAAGGTGTTGGGGTACAAGATACAGGGTCCTTTCCATTACAATATGCTCCTCCTATGTCTCACACGGATGGTGAGATCTTATCATTGAAATCACTGAAGTCTTAGCCAAAAGCCACAATGGGACTGAAGAGACAGGGCTACTTTTTGCACATTTGCCTCAGTGACAGCCAAATGAACTTCACTTTCTAGGAAATCTTCCATGAGTCCCCCCAGAGTGATGGGCGCTTACTTTCACAGCTACAGTCAGTCAGAGAACAGCCAGGAGAGGTGTCGACAGGCTTCTTCAGCACTGCAAAGTGATAGACCTTGAAGACAAAAAGCCAGAAAATACTCATCTTTCTAAACATAATATGAATATTTAGAATTGCATCCATTTCCTCCTTAGCTGTGCCTGAGACGCTCACTTTGTCTGAGGCCTTATTACCTATAACCTACAGATAAGAAGGCAAGTATTACCGAAGGGGAAAAGCTTCCTTCCTCCCAGCTATTCCACTAATGTTAAATTGTGTCAGGTTCATAGTCATGATTTTCCTTCAAGTTAAATCAGAATCAGAAGAAATGTTCAGGACTGCCTCTCATTACTTCATTTGTTCAACAAGCATTTAGTGAGTACCTACTGTCTATGAGGCACCGGGCTACATGCTAAGGATAAATGATAAAATTAGTCTTTGCTCTTAAGGAGTTCACATTTTTATAACAAAATAACAAGCCCAAAACCTTTCACAAAATTTTTTTATCTTTCTTATATTTTATAAACCATTAATAGGGAGACTTACTGAACGGGATGATTTTAGATTGAGAAGTAAGTTTTTTGTTTCATTTAAGAAATATATAAGTATATCCTTCTCCCATCCCATCCCCATCAGAGCCATCCTTCTCTCTAATAACAGATAAGGTACTCAGAGAAGTGACTGCTACTTTTTGTTTTTTCCTTAATAGTATTTTTTTCAATTACATGTAAAGATAGTTTTCAACATTCATTTTTGTACACTTTTGAGTTCCAAATTTTCCCTTTTCCCTCCGTTCCCTCCCCCCTCCCCAAGACAACAAACAATCTGATATAGGCTATATATGTACAATCATGCCAAAGGTATTTCCACATTAGTGACTACTACTGTGAATTCTAAGAGTAATCCTGTGTCAGTCCTCCTAACGCCGTAGCTCATGAGCTCTCATTGGTGTGCTTCCCATTAATAATTAGCAAGTACATTCAATTAGATCTTAGAAAAAGACATTTACTCAAATGGCATAACAAGAACAGGAGGAAGGTGGCAGTTATTAAAAAATGCTGGGGTACACTCTCCCACAAATACACACAGATTCAATAGAGGCATGAACTTAAAATACCTTAGTAGTGAGGCACATGGGTAGGGAACAAATGTGGGCAATTCACAACTCTGAAACTGTAGGGCTTTACTAGTCCTTTCTGGGTGGTCTTTTATGGAATTTATTGAAGGATGTGACATCAGTGACGGTGATGGACAGGTTGCTTGGTTTGCCAGACTGACTTCTCCAAGGGTACAGTGCCTCTAGTTGATGGATTAATCTCCTGGATTTCGTGGGTTCACTCTTCCTGCTATATACCATGCTTTCCTCTTTTGCTTTTCAAATGAGAATTTAAACAAAGCAAGCCTAACCCAAATTTAAAAAAAAAAATTTCTTCCTCTAGTCAAACTTCTTCCAAACACAGTTCAATTAAAAGTAAGTCATGTTAAAATTTATTAGAAACTTTTTCTGGCTTATTCAGATGTGTCTCAGTTTCCCCATCTTTAAAATAGGAGAGGTAGAGCAGCTGATTTTGAAGATCTCTTTCATCTCTAACGTTTCTATGAAACTATTATTCTGAAATAGTCTAATCAATTGGCTGTTTTTTCTACAAAATGATGAATGAGTGATTTAGCATCAAATTAGCTTTTTTAAAAAACAAACAATGGCTATTTTGGTGTGAAAGATACATTTACTCTTACTTCAAAATGTTTCACATAAACCATTACACTCAGGAATCAGGGTACAGGATAGACTGAGTGGTCAAGAATTTTTGAACAAAATAAGTTCAGTTCACTATTCTGAAGTACAAATAAGAAGGCATATGGAAAATTCTGAATCTCTGAGCTTCTGAAATGATATACCATCTCCTCGTCGCGTGTCTACACATCTGTGTGTCTGATATCAGAATGAGATTTGAAAGGGTCACTTCCTTCCTCCTGAAAAGATTAAATTGATTATGTATCATTTTTCATTGATCCTATTTATAGTTAATTGATTTCGTCCTATAACTACCTAAGTCACTGTTCTTTGTTTCCGAACTTAGTTCAGAAATTCAGCTGGTCTGTAATGTTAAGCTTAGTAATCCAGCTCTCCTGCTAATCACTATTCTGTTCTTGCCTCAAGAAAATCTATATCCTTGGGGGATTTAGGTGGATACCAAGGAGTTTAGTCTAGTATCTTTACACCACCAAGCTATGCTTCAAGGATATCTGGTCTGCTGTCTAAAGAAGTTTAGTCCACTATTGTTGTGCACAACTAGTTCACTAGGCTACAGAGCCTACCTAGGACCTGGGATTTCCCAATCACCTGATCACAGCTTGATCTTTCACTCCAAGCACGCATTGATGAGGCAGGAGAAAAGATGGCAGCAACTCCGTTTATTTTTAGCAAAGCACTTACTTATATAGTAAAATAACAGGAACCCTTTCTCAAGTTACAATGACGTATAACCCATGCTGTGCTCAAGGACGGTGCGTACACAGTCCGTGCACTTACCTACTACCATTCACAAATACACTGTTAATGACTAATGAGTAACTAGGGAAGTTAGAGATGCACAGAATGGAGCACCGAACCAGGCGACCTTTGCTCATAGATCAATCACCCCAAGAGGGGCCTCCGCCCATCAGTGAGACCCCATGAACAGCCTGTGGCCCTCTACATCCTTACAGATCCCCAACACACTATCTCTAACCTTGTAAGTGGACTCAGACAATGAACTCTTCTTAATCACAGGAGGGATGGAACGGGTTATTATTGGCCCCTCATTCCTAACTTCCAACCAATCATACTGTTCCCCCATGCCTCAGCTATGTAACCCTTCATAATGTCCTCATCCCCCTGGTGCTGCTGGTGCTGCCATTGCTGTAACCAGTTGTATTATTTCCTCACCTACCCTCTTCTGTTCTTTGTTCTGTGCTAATGGAAAGGAGACGCGTCTTGATCTAGGGGTCTTTGGCTTAAACTTTGGCTTACACTTAAACTTTGGCATCCATTGACCCATTCTATTATGGAGTCCATGCTCTGTTAATAAAAGTAATATTGCTCAGAGAATATGTATCTCAGTCTACCTTTGTTGAATTTCACTTGTGGCCTTCTCTGAGCAGAGTTGTAACTAAGATGGGATTACTGGGATAAATCCTAGGCCACCCAAATGTAGAGGATTTTCATATTAGCTGCATTCCACCAAGGGCATAGAAAAAAATAAGCTTCATTTCTAGAAAGCAAGAATGATAAGCAAAAAGAGGAAGCTATCAAATAAAGAGTTTTTTTCCCCCAACAAGCTGATTCTTGGCCCAGTGCTGCCACCACCCTTCTCCCAAGTTAGCTTCCCTAGTTTTGCAGACTCTGCCCAGAGAGCCAGAATATAGGTCTTTTTCCTCCCCAAATTGAATATGTCTTAAAAAATTGACTTCAGGGCATGTTTCATGTTGCTTGTCAGAATTCCCTGTTGTTACAACTCTGTTTCTGTGAGAATGTGATGAAATTGTGCAGGAAGACCCTAAAACATTTGTATTGTAATTGGGATGACAGAAGAAATGGAATAGACACTCTGGACGTGTCTTTTTGCAGTTTCTGAGTTAATGCTGGATTGATTCAACCACTGCCCCATTTTAAAAAATTATTAATCTGTTAAAACAAGTACTTATTGAGACATGGAGATGAATAGACGTAGAAACCTGTGCTGCCATATGATTAGAAAGAATGTACTTTCTTTAGTTACCTTGTCAAAGTGTCTTAAAAACTTCCCAATAGGTTTTCAAAGCCTGAAACCATATGCAGGAACACTAGGCCATTCAATTGTTAAAACAAACTTGGTTAAACTCTCTCAAGTATAGCCCCCATTTTTACCTTTTTTTTGTATCTCCAACCCTTTGCACAGTTCCTGACACATAGTAGGTGCTTAATAAATGCTCATCGGCTGACTGACTATAGTTAACAAAAATAGACATCTGCCTGTTTTTATAACATTTCTGGAAAGCTTCTCTTTGTTGTTCCATCCTCAGATAATTACTCATAACTCAGAACATGAAATTAAGATTTCCAAAATGAGGAATGCGTTTTTATTTCTAGGCCTGTGATTTCTTCTGTATGGGAAACTTCCTCCATACATACAGATGGGCAGTGATAGCCTTAGAGAAGTGCCTGGGGCATCAAGAGATTAAGGAACTTGCCCGGGATAATAACTCTGATCATTTGTTTGAGATACAGGACTTGAACCTAGGTCTGTAACACTCCAAGTCCAGCCTTTTTATCTACTACACATGCTGCCACTCTCAAAAAAAAATTAAACAATTAAAACCTTTTATCTTGTTTTTAGATTTTTCTAAATCACCAAAGTCTTTTTATTTAAAAAAAAAAATCCAAGGAGGGGTCATGAATAATATGGTCCTCAGAATCATCATCAGACATTGTTCCCAATTCTACTTTTCAATAAAAATAATATATAGTAAGTTATTAAAGCAAAAAAAATTTAAACAATGGGAGTTATAATTAAGTGGTAAATAATCCAACTAAAATGACAGCATAATAACCACCTCAAGCTGATGTCCTTGGTGATTAGTTTTGTTTTTTTCCCCCCTCAGATTGGATTGTTCATTTATGAATTACAGCTCTCATTGATTATTTCTTAAATAACTCATACTAGTGCCTCATTAGTGGAGAGTAACAATTCCATAATAGAGTGCGTGATTATACATTGGGCTTGTCCGCACGCACACACAGATCTGGAGAGAGACACACAGAAAAGCAATTTTGCATATCTGTATCAGACTTTTTTTTTAAAGAATGGGTCTTCCTATCTCACCCAGGCTAGAAGTGTAAGGGGGGTACTCATGGGCCCCATTCTGCTTAGCCTGGGAGCTTTGTCCATCTCTGTTTACCATCCTGGGACAGTTTACCCCTCCTACAGGTGGCCTGGTGGCCCTCTTACTCCCCAGGGCTTGCCATATTAATGCTATACTTAGACTAGCTACCTGACTGGCTCAACCCACTATAGCTCAGAATTCTTGAGCTCAAGAGATCCACCAGCCTTAGCCTCCCCAGTTGCTGTGTGCCACCATCTTGTGTACACTTGTATCAGACAGTTCTGAGAATACGTTAATTACCTTACGAAAAATTCTATATTACTACTCTCAACATTTTTTTTTTTAGTCAGCATGAGTTAGTGGATTGAGAACTAGCCTCCGAATCAGGACAACCTGGGTTCAGGTGTCACCTCTGAAACATTCTGGCTGTGCAACCCTGAGCAAATCACTTAACTTCTCAATGCACTAGGTATCTCTCTAAGATTATAATTTGCAGGGTAGTTGCTGATCAGCTTAGGTAGAAGGGATTTCCTCATTGTGAGTTCCTTACATTAATGAAATCACTCAACACTTATAATAATACCAATTAATGTGATCACAATCTATTAAAAATTAAGTAAACAAGGCATTCATCTATATTAAGGAGACATTTCTACTCACCTCCAAAATTCTTATGGAGTTAATCCTGCTGTCTCAAAGCTGGAGCAATCATCTATGGGCAGTAATTTGCCATTTGAACATTTTTCTTCCCAACCCTACTTCAATCTCAAAAATAAATATAGTGCTTAAGCGGCCCAAAGCAAAGAGGACATCCTGCAGAGAGATGGCACCATCAGATTTTTCAGCATGAATGTGGGTCAATTGAGCATAATCAGAAAACTCTAAAGTAACTTGAGATGATAATCTAAGCCCATCACATCTCCTTTTCTCCTGGCTATTTCATTGTTCATTAGCAACTCTGCTGGAATTCATGTAGGGGCAGACAAAGAAAGAGAATAATAAATGTTTTCTGAATGTTTGTTGGCTAAAAGTGAGTGCCAAATCCATCTGCTTTGCTATGTGTTAGGCAGACTGGTAAAAAGGTTTGGTGAAGGAACAAAGATTCCAGTTCTTTGCTACAACAAAAAGAGTTGCTATAAATATTTTTTGTACACGTAGATCCTTTCCCCCTTTCTTTGGTTGAAGAAATTATGACATATGACTGCAATGGAATACTATTGTGTCATAAGAAATGATGAAAGGAAAAGTTTCAGAGAAACCTGGGAAGATCTGCATGAACTAAGGCAGCATGAATGGAACAGAACCTAGAGAACAATTTATACAATAGAGACAATAGTGTAAAGACAATAGTGAAAGCCTTAATAAACCCAACTTATGCTATGACCAAACATGATTCCAGGGAACCAGTGGTGAGCCAGGGACTAATCTCCTGAAATAAAGGTTATGGAAGCAAGATGAAGAAAAAGACATATTTTTGGAAGTGACCCAATTTTGAAGGTGCTGGGTTTTTTTTTCATTTTTCCTTCCATTGATGAGTTGGGAGGAGGTGGGAGGGAAAAGAAAATAACTGCTCACTAATTGTAACATGACTACTATGGAAATATATTTTGTATGATTTAATATGTATAATTCATATCATATTGTTTGCTTTCTCAATATATGGGGGAGCAATGAAAGGGAAGGAGAGAATTCAAAACTGTAAAAGAATGTTAAGAATAAAGAGAAAAAGAGAAAAACAGTAAAATAGATAAACAATTAAATTAATTTGATTTAAAAAAGAAGAAATCAAATTACCAATATCAAAAATGAAATGGATGAATGCACCACCGATGAAGATGAAATTAAAATAACTATTAGGAGTTATTTTGCCAAATTATATGCCAGTAAAACTGACAATCTGAGTGAAATGGATGAATATTTACAAAAATATAAATTGCCCAGATTAACAGAAGAAGAAATAGAATACTTAAATAAGAAACTGAATAAGCCATAAATGAGCTCCCTAAAAAAAATCCCCAGGAGCAGATGGATTTACAAGTGAATTCTACCAAACATTTAAGGAACAATTAATCCCATCACTACATAAACTATTTGGAAAAAATAGGTTAAAAAAAAGTAGTCCTACCAAATTCCTTTTATGACACAAATATGGTTTTGATAACTAAAACAGGGAGAGTAAAAATAGAGAAAGAAAACTATAGGCTAATTTCCCCAATGAATATTGATGCAAAAATTTTAAATAAAATACTAGCAAGGAGGGTACAGCAATGTATCACAAATAACATATACAACGACGAGCTGAGATTTATAAGGAAAGCAGGGTTGGTGCAATATTAGGAAAACTATCAGCATAATTGACCATATCAATAACAAAAACCACAAAAATCATGATTATTTCAATAGATGCAGGAAAAGCTTTTGATGAAATACAACACCCATTCCTATTAAAGATTCTAGAAAGCATAGGAATGAATGAGTTTTCCTTAAAATGATAAGTAGTATCTATCTAAAGCCATCAGCAAGCATTATCTGTAATGGGGATAAGCTAAAAGCCTTCTCAATAAGATCAAGGGTGAAGCAAGGGTACCCATTATCACCACTATTATTCAATGTTGTACTAGGAATCTTAGCTACAGCAATAATAGAAGAAAAAGAAATTGCAGGGATTAGAATAGACAAGGAAGAAACTAAATTATCACACTTTGCAAATGACATGATGGTATACTAGGAGAATCCTAGAGAACCAATTAAAAAGCTAGGTTAATTTATTAACAACTTCAGCAAAGTTGCAGGATGTAAAATAAATGCACCTAAATCATCAGGATTTCAGTATATTACCAACCAAGTCCAGCAGCAAGAGATAGAAAGAGAAATTCCTGTAGACAATAGAAATTGCTTGGGAGTCTACGTGCCAAGACAAACCCAGGAACTATAGAAAAACAATTATAAAACACTTTTCACACAAATAAGGTCAGATCTAAACAACTGGAGAAATGTTAATTGCTCATGGGTAGGCCAAGCTAATATAATAAAAATTACAATTCTACTTAAATTAATTTACTTATTCAGTGCCATACTAATCAAACTACCAAAAATTATTTTATACAGCTAGAAAAATATCACAACAAAATTCATCTGAAAAAACAAAATGTCAAGAATATCAAGGTTACCAATTAAAACAAATGTGAAGGAAGGTGGTCTAGCAATGGCAGACCTCAAACTGTTTTACAAAGTGGTGGTCAACAAAACAGTCTGGCACTGGCCAGAAAATTGAGCGGTGGATCAGTAGAATAGATTAGGTACATAATATACACTAGTAAATTACCATAGTAATCCTAGTGTTTAATTAACAAACAAGCTTTTGGGACAAAAACTCACTATTTGACAAAAATTGCTAGAAAAATTGGAAAGCAGTTTGGCAGAAACCAGGTATAGGCCAACATCTCACACTGTATGTATACCAAGGTAAGGTGAAAACGGGCACCTGAAGTAGACATAAAGGGTGATATCATAAACAAATTAGGAGAGCATAGAATATTTTGCCTGTCAGATCTACAGATAAGGGAAGAATTTATGACCAAACCAGAGATAGAGAGCATTATAGAATGTAAAATGGATAACTTTGATTACAATAAATTTAAAAGTTTTTGCGCAAACAAAGCCAAAGCAGCCAACATTAGAAGGAAAGCAAAAAAACTTGCAAAAAAGTTTTATAACAAGTTTCTCTCATTGATTTCTCAATTAGAGAACTGAGTCAGATTCATAATCTCCAAATGATAAATGGTCAAAGGATATGAACAGGCAGTTTTCAGAAGAAAATAATCAAAGCTATCTATAGTTGATGAAAAAAATGCTCTAAAACACTATGAAATGCAAATTAAAACAATTCTGAGGTACCACGCATGTCACACCTATCAGATTGGTTAATATGACAGGAAAGGAAAATGACAAATGTTGGAGGACATGTGGGAAAATTGGGACACTAACACGCTGCTGGTAGAATTTGTGAAGTGATCCAGACGTTCTGGAGAGCAATTTGGAATTATGCCTAAAGTTCAAATCTGGCCTCAGACATTTACTATCTGTATGACACTGAGCAAGTCACTTAACCTCTGTATGCCTCAGTTTCTACATCTGTAAAATGGGGGTAATAATAGCACTCACCTCCCAGGGCTGTTGTGAGGATCAAACAAAATAATGATTGTAAAGTGCCTGGCACATAGTAAGTGTTGTAGAAATGGTAGCTGTCAGCATCATCATAATCATCATCATCTCTAACACCTAGTAAAGCACCTGGCAATAGTACATACTTACTAAGTGACTAGATTGATGATCTTCTACTAAAAAAATAGAACTGTGTGAGAAAAGTGATTAAAGTTTCATACCTTTTGACCCAGAGATTACACTGCTAGGACTGCTAGCAGCAAGAAAAGATTCACGTGTTAAAAAAAATGTTCATAGCAGCATTTTTTGTATTAACCAAAAAATGGGAATGAAACATATGCCCAACCATTGGGAAATATATATATTTTTCAGTCCAGTGATTTTATTGGTATTAGGGGCTACCAGGTAAGGAAACCTCCATCTACCAATGCAGATCAGCAATTGTTCTACAACTTATTATCTGCAGGGGCTGGGTATGGGGGGTGGTACTTGAGGCCAGGAGGCCACATGTGGCCTTCTAGGTCCTTGGGTACAGACTTTTGACTGAGTCCAGGTCTTACAGAACACATCTTTTTATTAAGGGGATTTGTTCTGTGAGGTTTGGATTCAGTCAGAGAGCCCCCTTGAGGACCTAGAGGGCCATATGTGGCCTCGAGGCCACAGGTTCTCCACCGGTAAAGATTTACCTGGAGTGAAATGACTTGCCTGGGGTCACACAGCCAGTATCTATCAGAAGCAGGTTCTCCTCTGAGGCAAGCTCTCTATCCACTACGCCATTTTGACTCTTTCTAAACAAATTATGCTATATGTATGTGGGTTATGGAATACTACTGCATTGTAAAGAAATTTGGATTAACATATGAAGATGCGTATGATGTGATTGCGGTGTAAAGGAAGTGGAGCCAATAAAATAGGATACAACCTAAAGACTATGACAATATCAGTAAAGTCTACATTGAGAGAGAATAAAACTTTGGTCGATTACAATTCTGGTACCATATTGTCTAACGTAAAGGAGACACGTTCCTCCTTTTCTGGTACCAAGTGGATAAACTCTTTGGTCCTTTAGGGATTATACTTTGTAAGTGGATTTTGTATGGATATTTATTTGGAAGTGACTGTTATGTCAAAACCAAAATATTTCAATAATTTTTAAAAAAAGAACACCATCTTTAACTTTTTCTTTTCTTTTATTGGTGGTGGTGGTTGTTGTTTTGCTGAAGTCAGAGGGTTTTATTTAACAATCATCTCAACTTTGGCATCCAAATCCAAGCAGCCTGATGTACAAACATAAGAACTGTCATTTTGAAAAACACATGAGGATAAAATAAATCTAACATTTGAACTCATTTTCATAGCTCAAAGGACTTTTGCTTTTAGGGAGCCCTCAGTCCAAATGATTGGTAAACACTAACAAAACCAATTGCCTCTGCCACTGAGTGCAACAGTAACTTAGACAACCCACTTACATTCTTGGTTTCATCTTCCACGAGATGAAGATCACATTACTCATGGGTCAGTAATATTTAACAGCATAAAAATGCTATAAAAATCTAAATCCTGCCAACTCAGTTGAAAATAACTGAGTGATCAACATGCAATGAATTCTGGAGTCAATTTGCCAATGGCCGTGACATCCTCCACGCCCC